GATTAGAAGACATGAGTGGAAAACTTGTAATACGACCATGAAATGTTATGAATCTAAAGAAGTATTACTTTTGAAGTACTCTCTCCCTTAAGTGTTTGCCAACGACAAAGATAAAGGGTAAGGCCCTGGGGACAGAGTTTAAGGACTCCTGTCCCCGAAGCAAATACAGGAGCAAGCCTCCTGCAAGGGTATGGCCCTGGGGACAGAGTTCAAGGACTCTCGTCCCCGAAGCAAACACAGGAGCAAGCCTCCTGCAAGGGTATGGCCCTGGGGACAGAGTTCAAGTACTCCTGTCCCCGAAGCAAACATAGGAGCAAGCCTCCTGCAAGGGTAAGGCCCTGGGAACAGAGTTCAAGGACTCCTGTCCCCGAAGCACATACAGGAGCAAGCCTCCTGCAAGGGTAAGGCCCTGGGGACAGAGTTCAAGGACTCCTGTCCCCGAAGCAAATACAGGAGCAAGCCTCTTGCAAGGGTAAGGCCCTGAGAACAGAGTTCAAGGACTCCTGTCCCTGAAGCAAACACAGGAGCAAGCCTCCTGCAAGGGTAAGGCCCTGGGAACAGAGTTCAAGGACTCCTGTCCCCGAAGCAAATACAGGAGCAAGCCTCCTGCAGGGGTAAGGCCTTGGGGACAGAGTTCAAGGATTTCTGTCCCCGAAGCAAACACAGGAGCACGCCTCTTGATTGGGCAAGCAGCCCCGAAGACAAGTGNGCCTCCTGCAAGGGTAAGGCCCTGGGGACAGAGTTCAAGGACTCCTGTCCCCGAAGTAAACACAAGAGCAAGCCTCTTGATTGGGCAAGCAGCCCCGAAGACAAGTGAAAAAAAAAAAAAAGAGAACATTACTGTACACAGAAGAAGGAAAGAAATACTCGTGATTTATTTCAAGAAATAGGGGTTTTGCGTCCCCAAAGGCTANGTCCCCGAAGTAAACACAAGAGCAAGCCTCTTGATTGGGCAAGCAGCCCCGAAGACAAGTGAAAAAAAAAAAAAAGAGAACATTACTGTACACAGAAGAAGGAAAGAAATATTCGTGATTTATTTCAAGAAATAGGGGTTTTGCGTCCCCAAAGGCTACAAAAGAAAGCAAAAGAGATACAATCAAAAAGGAAGAGACTTTCATCTGGCTCCAAGCATCTCCAGAACATCAGCCGAGGGCGAGTCGGCGAAGAATGGTTGAGAAGCTTCTGGAGCAGGCAGGACAGGTACCTCGGCAACAGGGAGACTTTGGGCATTTTGAGGATCAGGGGCATGGTCCGACGAGGCGTCCTCAGACAGATCCACTATCACCGGCTCAGGCGGATCCGCCGAGACTTGCACTGGTGTTGGAACCTCATCCTCGGCAGCGACCTANTCTAAGAAGAAATATTTGAATATCAATCTCAGTCTCTACTCTGGTAAGGACCAAGTGACTTCATTAGCGTGGAGCTAGGCATGGTAAGCATAAAGTAGCGGTAGCGGTGTGACTTTTTTCGTGACTTGACTGCTAGCAGCTGATGAAACTATAGCACGAACAGCTACCTCCTCTTCCCCTCGGGACACTCCCTTTAAAGACGTTAGCAATCAAAGCTGATTCAACCAAAGCAAGAACAGCGCCTTCGCCTGCTTTGATTAGGACTTTCTCCGGCTACGGCTACAGAGCCATCTAAATGCTACTTTGGTTGATCGCCCCCTATGAGNGGGTGAGAGCCAGACAGTTTTCCTCTGAGCCAACGGCCCTCTCCTTCGCAGCAGAAAGTCGCTGTGTTTGCTCGGTAATCCTCCTCTCAGCATCGGCAAGGGCAGCACTTATTTTTTCAGCGCCAACCTTGGCCGATTCGGCGTCCTTGAGGAGTTGCTCGATTTGAGCAGCCTGCNCTCAAGCGCGTCCTCGGCGTCCAGAGATTGAAGAACTTGAAAGTCGGGCCACGAGTCTCCTTNAGCCTCGAAATGCAGTGTCTCATTCACTGCATTGGCGACATGAGGATCCAGCAGAATAGAATCGTCGACCCTGATCACTCGGTTCATATGATCAGTGGCTCGGGGATTCCACTCCGCGGCCTCCACTGTAGGCGGAAGGGGAGGAGGAGTCTGCTGCTATTGTCGGGGCTGTTGCTGTTGTGGAGGAGCAGGGGGTAATCCACGGCCCCTCCCGCTTTGCTGCTGAGCGGGAGGTGCCCTGGATCCTCGGCCGAGGCCATCATGCCGATGTTTGACCCTTCTCTCCTCCTCCACCTGAGGGTCCCGGTCTCGCACCTGACCCCGACCAAGGACCCTTGATGATGGGGTGGAACTGGTCCCTGCAGAGGGGGTGCCGCCGGTCGTTCCTCGACCTCTCCCGGCTGCAAGGGCTTGCCTCTGCCTTAGGAACCCGAGGTCGATGCGAGGAGTGTTTGACATCGCGACCTCAAGCACGTCCTCGGCGTCTAGAGATTGAAGAACTTGAAAGTCGGGCCACAAGTCTCCTCCCGAAGTCCCCACCTCGGCGTCTGAAGGAACAACGTCCTCTCTGACCCCGAGCTCTTCAGCAACTCCCTCTACCTCTGCCTCCGAAGCCCGATCCGGGTCTTCCTCCAAGTTTTCCTCAACCTCTAACCTCGCCGCCTGATCGAAGAGTTCAGACCACCGCGAAGGCTCAAAAGACTGAGGAAGCTGTGAAAATTTCTTATACCCGGGGGTATAATTCAGCAGGATGTGAGCAGCACGGCCAAACCCGTTGTCGCCCGTGAATCTCCAAACCGTGATTAGGTCGGCAAAGTTCACCAGCGACCGAGGGGGAGGAGCTGTTTCCCGAGCAGGAATATCTGCACAAACGAAAAAGTTGTCATAAGCATAGAAAGTCTAGGGAAAGAAATGATAAANTTTTACAACCGACACGTGTCCTCGGTCAGATACGTACCTCGGTCGGCATAACTCCCTCGGTCCCTGAGATCAGCCTTTCCTCGGTGCTGAGAGGTACCCCGTCCTGGACGCTTCCTCTACTCCAGGATAAGCTATTGACGTACAGGTCATTAGCCTAGGCTA